GACAAGCCCACTTTAAGAGGGGGAGTATTTTAAATGTGGAGGCTGTTTAGAGAGTATTGTGACTTTGATTTTGATAAATGACTGCAGAACTAGAAATGGTTATTTATATAGAGAGCATTGCTTTTCTGCTGAGGCTACAGTATATTGGCCAAATGACAAATGGCTCTCCAAGGATTCCATTTGACTCTGGAGCAGGGCACAACTAGATTGCATTAAAATGTAGCGCTGCAGCTTGAATGACATAAGAGGAAAGGGAGTGTAGCAAGGATTTCTGGGTATTTAGATTGCATTTCTATTTGTATAGAGAAGTAGATAGATAGATATGCGATAGATAGATAGATAGATAGATAGATAGATAGATAGATAGATAGATAGATAGATAGATATGAGATAGATAGATAGATAGATAGATAGATAGATAGATAGATAGATATTTGGTGTGACTGTGCCAAAGCTAAACATCTATGGACCCGAATTTATACTTTAATCATTACTGTATTAAGCATTTCATCTCAACAAAGACCCGTGGGAAGCGCTTTTCCACAAACCTATAATGGGCATACGTAACCATCAACAGTGCTTAATATCTGACATATTCATGGCTACCAAACAAACAATGCTAAATCTTGGAAATCCCCTGTGCTTAAAGGAGAACTATGAGGCGAGTGATTTTCACTCATCCTCATAGTTCGAGCCAACCTGTGACAATGAAACTGTCACACGTTGGCTCAATAGATCGGGAAGTGAGCGAACACATACCGTCGCTCGCTCACCTCTCGATCCTGTCCCTGCAGAGAGCAGTGACTGTCACTCACGGCTCCCTGCAGGGATTCCCCCCCTGCGCGCTCCGATCCTCCAGCGCTGACAAGCGGAACGAATGGGGGAGGGGGCGGGTACAGCTGGCTCTGCCTCTAGATAGGCAGAGCCAGCTGTCAATCACACAGCTGGGTGGATCTCGACAGTAATGTCGGGATCCGCCCCGGCTGCAGCGGTCTCAGTATATAATGAGCTGTAGCTCGCGATATACTGAGCTTTGGGTGACGGGAGGACGCTAGTTTGTGTCCTCCCATGACCCTTAGGAGAACAATGGGGAAAAGCACTGACCCCATAGTTCTCCTTTAAGTACGTGGAAGTTAAAAATCGTATTACAGGCACAATGATTAATGAACAGCTCACAGCAATCCTAACCGATTCTTATGTCAAATTCGAGACAATTTGGGGAGCTTGGATCTTCTATCATAGTCCGCTGAACTTTGACCCAACCCAATTACAGATTTGATTAACCCCCATGGTGCCCACCTGACCCACGAGAGTCTATATCTACTTTATACTTTCCCCCCTCTCCCTGATTCCCAAAATTTTACAGCCTATCTGTTCATTTAACACCGTACCTACTTTCCCAACCTATTCCCTTCCGTATTATTATTATTATTATTATACAGGATTTATATAGCACTGAGGAGATGAGTCTTTAGGGATCGCAGTCAGAGTGGGAGATAGACGGACAAGCTAGGGTTAAGAGTTTCAGAGGATGGGAGAGACTTATTGGAAGCCGATTGGCTATTGGAAGTTCGTATAGTTCTTTATCTCTGGGCTCGACCCCCAGAATTAGACCAATGTTGACTATATTTCTGGACAAAGGTCCATAACACTAATAACTCTAATCAGATGGTTCTTCTTAATTAGGGATGCACCGATACCGATACTAGTACAGCTTCCTATGACGAGGGAGCATGGAGCTGGCTTCCCGGCCAATCAGGAAGCATGGCGCCGCGTCATTACACGGCACCCGGCTTCCATGATTGGCAAGCACATTGTTACGAGAAGCATTGGGACGGCTTCCCTGCTAATCGGGAAAACGGGTGGCGAGTCATTACACATCGCCTGGCTTCCTGAATGGGACTTCCGGTACTCGGTATTCGGTATCGGAAAAAAAATATTGGTACTCGTACTCGGTACCAATATACCGGTATCGGTGCATCCCTAGTCTTAATTGATTCAACCCAACTTAACTTAGCATTGTAACCCCATCAAAGTGCTATATATGTACACAATCTAATGTTCTTTATCCTTGATGTAAACTCCTCGCTGCTGCGTCAGCACAACTACGTATACTTCCTTTTTGTTTTGATGTTTTACCTTTGTGGTAAGAAATAAGGGAGCATTTTTCACCCACATTTTTTGCATTTGGGCAGATATACCCTGTTTCCCCGAAAATAAGACCTAGTACTATTTTTGGGAATTGCTAAAATATAAGACCTACCCCGAAAATAAGACCTAGTTGTGACCATTCCCAGGGCCGGTGGTGGCATACGGGGGAACTTGAAGAGCCGCAGGAGAGAATCAGCGGTGCCAACGAAGCCAGCGCTAGAGGAAGCGAGGCGGCAGCGGAGGGAGCAGAGCCGCATAAGCTGATGCCTCCTCTATAGCGCCAGCTTTTGTCACAGACGGAGTCATACCAAATGCACTCCGCCTGTGAGGAATCCATAGTGACAGTGCTCTTCACTCATTCTGGCCAGCGATTGGTTAGCAAATTGCTCTTGGAAAGGTACGGCACCCCTGATTGCCCTGATCACCATATTCTTGTACATGAATAAGTGTGGATTGTTGTACATAAAAAAAAAAATAAGACCTTCCCCGAAAATAAGACCTAGTGTGTTTTTTTGAGCCAAAAAAATATAAGACAGTGTCTTATTTTTGTGGAAACACGGTACACATTAAGCTTCTTCGAAAAAAAATTGTTTTGGCTTTTAGAAGATATTTTTCATTTGGAAATGTGATTTTTAAACCCTATAGATAAAATATTAATTTGTCTTGAACGTCTATCCGCTAAAAAGGCATCAACATTCTATTACAAAGGATAATATTGTAATTGAAACTTCAACGGTGGTCACTTCAAATTACACTCCATTATAAATAATGATTTAATTGATTTGAATAGATTTCCTGCCGGCTAAAATATTCAGTCTTTAGTTTTGCCTTTACAGTTCCTAAATTCTGAACAATTACTCGGTATATGTTGTTGTTTCATGTGACACGGTTCACTTTGACATCACCTCTTGCAGAAACTAATTTCATCGCAGTCTTGAAGGGGACATTTTTCCTTTCAAACTTCAAAACTTCGTGAATGCCTTTTTCGAAATAAGGGATAATGACCATACTTATAGTAATTTCGTACCTACGCTCCTTACTTTGTGCCTTCACCTCACGGGCTCATTGTCACTATTATACATACAGAATTTAGGGTTGCTTTAACAAGCTTTACCATGTGTTTTCACATTCTGTACTACATTTATGATGGATCCCATTTCAGTGTTTTCGATAAGAACGAGAAGGGCAACGCACCCACAAAAAAAAGAGAATACAGGACGTTGGGGTGTATGATTATGTTTTATGTGAAACACATCAAAACTTGATTATTGGTGTGTGTGTATCTGGGCAAATATTGTTAATGGATAAATGAACCAGGGGGCCAGCAAGCTCTCCAATTTGCAAGCATAGCAGTTAACAAAAGTGCCTTCAAACCTCATATCAGCCCTGATTCATTCACTTTCAGATCTCAGATCAGTCCCTATTCCTGCACCTTTACACTTCAGATCAACAACAATTCCCGAACTTTGAAACCTTAGATCAGTCTCAATGCTGCACCGTCACGCCTCAGATCAGCCCAAATTCCTGCACCTTAATACCTCAGAGCAACCCCAATTCCTGCACCTTCACACCTCATATCAGCCCCAATTCCTGCGCCTTCATACCTCAGATCCACCCCAATTCCTGCGCCTTCATTCCTCAGATCCATCCCAATTCCTGCACCTTCATACCTCAGATCAACCTCAATTCCTGGACCTTCATGCCTCAGATCAACCCTAATTCCTGCGCCTTCATACCTCAGATCCACCCCAATTCCTGCGCCTTCATACCTCAGATCAGCCCCAATTCCTGCACATTCATACCTCAAATCAACCTAAATTTCAGCACCTTCAGATCAGCCCCAGTTCCTGCACCTTCACACTTCAAAATACACCCAATTCCTGCACCTCCATAACTCAGTTCAACCCCAATTCCTGCACCTTCATATCTCATATCATCCCCAATTCCTGCACATTCATACCTCAAATCAACCTCAATTTTAGCACCTTCAGAATTCAGATCAGCCCCAATTTCTGCACCTTCACACCTCAGATCAGCCCCAATTCTTGCACCTCCACACCTCAGATCAGCCCTCATTTCTGCACCATCACATCTCAGATCAGCCCAAATTCCTGCGCCTTTAGAACTTTGATGAGACCCATATCTTTCATCACCAGAAATGGAGGGGTTTTACAGTCATACTTTCCATTAGGAGGAGGAAGAGTGTAGGTGGGGAGCTTTTTCATATAATACACTAAAGTATGCAGCTACTGCTGGGCCTATACTAATACTGTGAGGAAGAAACCCAAACATCAGTCATATCAGGGTGTTGGGTGGGCCGTGGGTGCAAAATGGCCAGCCAGGCTTTGTAACTGACAGCCTAGTGAGTTGTTAATTACAGCCTGTGTCAGTGGCAATTCTGGGTGCCACTGAAAAAAACACAAGAGGTGCCTGCCCAGCCACACATGCGTTCTTCTGACCACTGCAATAAGTCTGTAGTCCAGAAAGATAATGAAGCAATTTCATTATTGGAGTTATGTAGCAAGAGGGTGTATGATACCTGCTAGATGACTTCATGTCCTGCCGCAGGGAGAACCAGCAGAAGGGCCTCTACCCCTGATGTGTCATATAATAGCACACAATGACTAATCACTCTTTATCATACAGGTTGCACATAACAATATACACATGTTTCTCTCCCTTATCAATTGACATTCATTATGATAAATAATTGTCCCTAAACTTAACATATCTTTGGTGAATCTCTTTGAAACTCCAAAGTTAATGGCAAGCCTAAGGAGCGAAAAACCTAAGTCTATATTATGTGTAAAGAATTCTAATGCCATTTCTTTGTTTTTTGTCTTCTTTAGGCTTTTTAACCTGATCTACAATGGAAAAACTGTTTGGTTATCTGTTGTTCATTGGCATGGCGGTGAGAGCTGAGATCTGTCCCAAGCGCTGTGCCTGTCAAAATCTATCTCCAAACCTTGCAACATTGTGTGACAAGAAAGGTTTACTCTTCGTCCCACCAAACATCAACAGAAAGACTGTAGAGCTACGCCTAGCTGATAATTTTGTAACAAATATAAAACGGAAGGATTTTGCTAACATGACAAGCCTGGTGGACCTAACGCTGTCAAGGAATACAATCAGTTACATCACCCCCCATTCGTTTGCTGACTTGCGCAATTTAAGGGCGTTGCATTTGAACAGCAACCGATTGACTAAAGTCACCAATGACATCTTTAGTGGGCTTTCCAATCTCCATCATTTGATACTCAATAACAACCAACTGACATTGATTTCACCAACAGCCTTCGATGATGTTTTGGCTTTGGAGGAGCTTGACCTGTCCTACAATAACCTTGAAACTGTTCCATGGGAAGCAGTGGAAAAAATGATTAGTTTGCACACTTTTAGTCTAGATCACAACATGATTGAACATATCCCTAAGGGAACATTCTCACACTTACACAAGCTGAACAGATTAGATGTAACATCAAATAAACTTCAAAAATTACCACCAGACCCTCTCTTTCAGAGAGCTCAGGTGCTAGCAACCTCAGGTATGATGAGTCCTTCCGCATTTGCTCTGAGTTTTGGTGGAAATCCATTACATTGCAATTGTGAATTATTATGGCTGAGGCGCCTTATGCGAGAGGATGACTTGGAGACATGTGCTTCTCCACCTCTCCTATCTGGACGGTATTTTTGGTCCATTACTGAAGAAGATTTTTTGTGTGAGCCACCACTTATCACCAGATACACGCCAGATGTAGAAGTTTTAGAAGGACAAAGAGCTGTTTTAAAATGCAAAGCCCTTGGAGACCCCGAGCCGGCAGTCCACTGGATATCCCCAGAAGGAAAGCTAATATCCAATGGGACACGGATTTTCGTCTATGATAATGGAACACTGGACATCCTGATAACAACAGTCAAAGATGGCGGGCCTTTTGCATGTATTGCTTCTAACCCAGCCGGGGAGACAACAAAAACAATCAGTCTCCATATAATTAAACTCCCGCACCTAGTGAACAGTACAAATCAAATCCATGAGCCAGACCCTGGATCATCTGACATTTCCACCTCCACAAAGTCGGGGTCTAACGCCAGCAGTAGCAATGGGGATACAAAAATAAGCCAAGATAAAAAGGTGGTGGTAGCCGAGTCGACATCCTCCACTGCACTTATTAAATTCAATTTTCAAAGGAATATACCTGGAATACGGATGTTTCAGATACAGTACAATGGCACGTATGATGACTCGCTTGTTTACAGGTAAGGTTTCATTGTTCTGTGCTTACGTTTCTAAAGCTTACAGTGAAAACACATTGTTTTTGAAAGATATATCATTTTAAAATTTGAATATGAGTTAATGTTTTTGAAATATGTTGAAAAAAATAACTATCACTTCATTATTTTTGATTATATGGAGCCTACATACACTGAGTGGCCAGATTATTATGACCACCCCATCAGTACTTCGTTGAGCCACGAGATGACTCCACGAGATGACTTAGTTGGGCCGCCTCGTGACTCCACGAGATGTTGAGAGGTGATGCAAGGAATCTGGCACGGCACTGTCGCCCTTCTGTTGTCTTGTACCAGTCTTGCATTTCTCCATTTTGCCCTAACATTGACTAGTCGCTGACGGCCACAATTCGCACGTTCAGACCCAGATTTTCGGCTGACAGTCCGGTCTTTAAACACTTTAACAACAGCTGCTCTTGAACATTTAACGAATTCTGCTGTTTTGCTGATACTCGCTCCATGGCTCCGAGCGCCAACAATCACCCCACGTTCAAAGGCTGTTAAATCTCGTTGTTTCCCCGTATCTTCAGAAACAAATCACTTCTACTGTCGTGGTAACCAACCTGCTTCCCTATTTATAATGGTCTGGCCCTCTAGCAACTTCAGCGCCAAATTATAGCTAATTATAGCTAATTTGCCTACAAATGTCAGGTGGTCATAATAATCTGGCCACTCAGTGTATAAAGAAACTGTTAAGGGGTTCTGGTTTGCAGCAGAAGGCTATACAATGATTCTACAGAAATGGCATGGCAAGGTGCATAACACATGTGGTAAAGCTTTGGATACTGGTACCCTTATTCCTTATAATACACTAAAACCAATACACTGGGTGGCAGAAAGTGACATTAAAATGGACCTGAACTCAAACGTTGAAGGCTATTTTATAAGGAACATCTAGAAGTGCAAACTGTGTCTAAGCTGTGCCTGGAAAGATTTGACTTTTATCTTAAATTCATCCTGAAAAATAGCAATGTACAACCTCTGCCTAGGCACTGCAGCCTCATCGGTGTATATCTGCATTGCAGATCATCTGAGGCACCACTACCTACTCACTACATTTGGAGTGAAATTTGGCGATGCCACTGCTATTTTGCTCACTGTTCTCTTTGCTTGAGAGGAAGCTGTTCCTGAAAATCTGCAGTGCAAGAACCTCCCTGCTCCTGCTTCATTTATTTTGGAGATTTGTGCTTTCTCCACCTATCCTGGTGCTTCTTGATCATTACCTTGCCCTAGTCATCAAATCTTCAGCTCTGAAATAAGGAAGCAAAGCCCTGCCTCTACCCTAATGGCAACTTACACACAGAGAAACGGTTCAGAACAAGGTATGGTAAGTCAGTAATGGGCAAAAGATCAGCTGTAGGGAACCTATAGTCTCCAGTGACTAGTGTTTTTGTCCTTTGCTTGCCTATTTTGGAGCACAACCTCCAGAGTACAGGTCTGTGACCAGCCACCATTGATGGTCCAAACTGGGAAATGAATTGAGATTGAGGGCTTGATATACCTGTGTGAATTACCTGGTAAAACTAAACTTCGGAAATCATGAAAAGATGAAGGGGTATTGAGTTGGGTGTATAAGGGGGTCTTAAAGGAGAACTATGAGGGTGCCTCTAGATAGGCACAGCCAGCTGTCACTCACGCAGCTGGGCGGTTTCCGGCATAATTGTCGGGATCCGCTTCAGCTGCGGCGTCTCAGTATACTGAGCTTAGGGTGACGGGAGGACGCTAGTTTGTGTCCTCCTGCTACCCTAAGGAGAACTATGGGGAAAAGCCCTAACCCCATAGTTCTCCTTTAACAAGTGAATGGAATGTATAAGATGCACAAGAAACAAGCTGTAATTTCAAAACATGCTGTTAATACAAATTATGTATTATTATTATTATTTTATTATTATCATCAGTATTTCTCTAATAGCTCTATTTAGGGTGTATTATACTCATGGTTTACTCCCAGAATTAAATTATTTCCCACTAGACTTTATGTGATGACATTTACAAGCCTGTGGTTGTGTTATGCAAACTTATACCTTTTTTATCCCTGTTCATCTATCATTTTGCATTCTGCAGTGAAGATTAATAACCTTCCGTATGTCCCCAAGCGCTAAAATTAATAGCAGTTGGCCTTTGTCCTTGCAAGAAAAAAAAAATATGACCATATTTGAGGGAATATGTGCAAATATTGTCAGGCTTTACAAAAGGTTATCACCCAAAGGATGATGGGAAATCAACTTGCACAGAAACATAAAATAACACCATCTGCTTGGGCTTCATAGCTAGCAAGGAATAACATATAAGTCATAACATAATGTCATATCATGCAATGCAGTAACGTTGTATCATCATCATCGTACTCTATGTGCTGCGCACTTTACATTTCCTGAATTATATTTCATAATCATCTCCTTTCTTCCTCTTTATTATTATTCACTTTGCTGTGGCTTGCCGGGCCATGCTCACCATTTCAGATTTAAAGTGGAAGTAGGGGTTAAAAATAAACTGGCAGGCTTACTCTGCTGAAGCAGAAGAGACTGTGTAAGTCCTTTAGCCAACATACAGAGATTGAGTAACTCATGTTCACATGCTCAAGAAGGAGACCAGGGAGAAAATCGAATTGCTGAAGAGGGACCAGTGCATTGATGGAGGGGATCAGTTTGGCAGGTAAATCTGCCATGGTGTGCTAATATGTTTTTCATACTAGCGCATTATGGCTAAACAGGGGTGTCCCCAGCCCATTCGCAGACTGAGGTGCCCGGGGGGCGGTGGCTGCTGGTGGTGCGTATTTCAGATGGGAGGTTTGGGGGCGGGGTGGATGGCTGCTGCTGGTGAACATTCTTTGGGGGATGCAAGCCAGAGCATCTCACCTAGCTCCTGGCAACCAGCGAGGTCACTGGTTACCAAGAGCTGGGGCTGGACGCCGGCCAGAGCATCATGCTCTGCTCCTGGCGACCAGTGACGTCACTGATTGCCAGGAGTTGGGCGGGATGCCGACAAGAGCATCCCATGCTGCCTAAGAGCTCTCAGCTCTTAGCAACCTGGGACACTTTGGCTGAAAAGGGGACAGAAGGCACACTGCAAACATTGTGCAGCAGAGTGTCATTGCCGCTCTCCTCCACCGCCCACCTACGTTACCCAAAGAGATACTGCCTGAGGCAACAGCCTCATGCTGACTCATTATAGGGATGGCCCATGGCTAAAAGCTCCTGGGGACCCTTAAATTAGCTTTACTTCCACTTTAATATGTTCCAAGGGTGAGCAGCAACAGAACTATTCTGTGTACATAACAAAATGTATCCCGGGGGGGTCTCTGCAACCTGACTGTAATTACCAAAATTAATTAGTGCAGTTTGCATCAGTCTCAAAAATGAATGAAAGTGTTAAAGGAGAACTATGAGATGAGTGATTTTCACTCACCTCATAGTTCTAGCCAACCTGTGACAATGATACTGTCACAGGTCGGCTCAGTAGATCGGGAGGTGAGCGAACACATACCAGGTTCGCTCACCTCTCGATCCTGTCACGGATCTCTGCCGTGACAGGGGAGGGGCTGGATTCCCCTCTCCCCGCTCCGATCTGCCAGCGCTGACTGGCGGAACGGACGGGGGAGGGGGCGGGTACAGCTGGCTCTGCCTCTAGATAGGCAGAGCCGGCTGTCACTCATGCAGCTGGGCGGATCCCGTCATCTACGTCGGGATCCGCTCCGGCTGCGGCGGCTCAGTATACCGCGAGCTGTAGCTCGCGGTATACTGAGCTTAGGGTAACGGGAGGATGCTAGTTTGTGTCCTCCCGTTACCCTAAGGAGAACTATGGGGAAAAACACTGACCCCATAGTTCTCCTTTAAAGTGTAACCCCTGACAGCTACAAAAGACACAATTTAATACAGCTATGTATACAACAAATGCAAGAACCTGGATTTGAACTGGTATCATCCTCTTGCCGTCCTTTGTATAGCAGAGGTCAGACTGAGAAAGTATGAAGCAGTACAAGGAGCATGATATTAGGAAGGAGAGCAGAGGGACAGAGAAATTAGCTCCCCCTGCGGTCACTGTGGTGCTTCTCTTTCCCCATCCATTCACAGCCTAGGAGCAGGTCATTGACAACCTTTGCAGGAAGTGGGTTGAATGATGCTCGCTCTCATTTAACTCAGAAGACAGAGGACATGTAGTGGCAGAAAATAAGTACTCTGGTACTATAGATCGAGAGCTGAGCAATCACAAACTGCTGATCGCTCAGCTCATGGTCTTCTTCATGCAAAGAGCGGGGACTGTCAGTCATCTCTCCCCATAGGGATTCCCACCTTTCCTCTCTCTGTTCCTCCAGCACTCATTGGAGGTGCAGACAGGGGAAGGGGCGGGCACATCTGGCTCTGGCTCTAAAGAGGCAGAGCCAGCTGTCAATCAAGCAGCTGGATGGATCCCAAAAATGTTGTCAGGATCTTTCCTGGCTGTAGAGTGGACCTGCACTGTCAGCAAATAGCATCCAGTAGCCCACTAGATGCTGACTTTGGGTCAGAGGAGGACATTAGCATCTTAGTAAAAAAAAAAATATGTTTTTCCTTCCTCTGCTCATGTTTTCTCTCCCTGCCCTGTGCACATCTTGTTGACTTTTCATATGAAATTCCCATGGATAAGTGAAAACTCCAGAGGCTCCATATGGCCGAATGTCATAGTTTTACTGCACTGTGCAATGGCACGGCTGCTTATATTCCTACTTCGTAGCCCATAGGAAAACGTTACAATGCGGCAGCTTGGAGTAAGCATTGTCACCCTAGCAGAGGAAGTGTCAGCGGCTACCATTGGCGGATATGATTTAATTGAAAGCAGAAAATATAATAAAAAAAGGATTAAACTTTTCGACCTTTTTTTCCTGCCAAAATATGTGTATTTCTATACATCCAAGTTCTGACATGTATAGCTCTGGCGCGACACAAAGATCTGTCCAGCAGGGCATGAGACCTGATCTTTCTCTGCTG